AGCCCGCTCCAACGGCTCGCCGAAATGCACCCTGCCCTGCATTCAATAAATAACAAATCATAAACGGCACAGCGGACTCCGACTTCCGACGTACCCCCATTTACACGAACGCACGCCCATTTTTACTCGGCACGATTTCGCCTTACGAACCACGTTGCAACAATCCTTTTCGATTTCGAAGGCTTTCTATGTTCAGCCTTCTAGGGGGGGAGCTCTGTAGCGCCCAAAAAGATAACTCTTATCTTTTATGTACAATTTACTTGTTGACCGATTGTACATTACTCTTTCTTGTTTTAATCTTACAACCGGCTCGACACACAACTGCCTTGTAAGTCCCCGCGCTCACGTGTACGCTCTTGCTTCGCTTCATCCGTCCGTTTCTTGTTGTAGCCCATCGAATACAGTCCGCTGTGTCCGACTCCAATTGCCTTCTGATATCCGCGCTTAATTCCGCGCATCGTCTCGGACTAGTATTAACTAGTCCTACAAATCTATGTTTAGTACCAGTTGTAAATATACATTTGACATTGACGTTGCTAAGTAACTAAAAGTACGCGCTACGCTTTTCAACGACCTTAACCAGAGGGTAAAATTATCCAGTTCAAAATCTGAGAAGTACTATTGCTGGATTAAGCAAAATATTATTAACACATTATGGTAAGTATACTAAATGCGAGTGTAATTAAAAGCAGATTTAAACAAGTTAAAGAATATTGATGTAATGATCCTGTAATATAGGAACAATAAAGAAAAAACTATCCATAGGGTTAAAAATTAGGTTATAAATGTAAATGAACCATAAAGGTATGCCGATGTATAGGCAGAGAATAAAGCCTAAGTAAAGGTGCTAGGTTAGCTCATATAACTACCACAGGTGTGGCATAATTGTAGGTACACAACGAGACTCGAATAAGTAAGCGCTTACAAGCAAGACTAGGGCCAATAAAAGTCCCTGGTAGCACATGTCCAGGTCCTGTCCAGTTCAGCATCCTAAACGTTCCTATGAGAGCATTAGGCTAAACTGGACAGGAAGTATTACCGTGAGACGGCTAAAAAGGGTTCCTGTCCAGTTTACGTTGGACCAATGAAGATGATGCTAGCGTTGACCAATAGAAATTCACCACTATGCGTGACAATCCGGCTGGTCCAGATCCCGTCATTGCCTCCCATGGGTATCCGAATACGGACAACACACTTGAACGCACTATGCGCCTAACGAATATATGGACGACTCGGACCTAGTGTTCACCCGGTACCAGTTGCGGTAGTTTCTGGACTTGGGAACCCACCTAGGCGGCGACTCAAAGCTGTTGGTCAGAAAAGGAAACCGCTCTTACCGCGCACCTGACATCACAAGGCGAAAGAAAATTAAAACCGAGGTATAGGAATGCTATATATACATGAAGGGGTGCAGTACAAAGAACGTTAGTAGCAGAAAGCGGCATAGTCAATATTCTTAATCTGCTTCCGCGAGTGTCAACGTAGGAGGCTAAAGATGTGCCTAAGGAAGCAGGGGACTCACCTCATTCGTACTGCATACTTTAGTTTGCTCAACCGGCGGTCTTTTGTGCCGTGCAGAATGCAACCACGTTTTGATGTGCCGTGTAATGTCAGCATCCGAGGCTGCATCACCCATGCGTTGCCGAATGAGGCCTTGGTAGTTTTTATGGATTACTGCATTTCAACCTACCTTGTACAAGGCCGTTCATATTTGTTCGCCTGAATGCAAAGGAACCTCTAGCGCCGGAGTAATTTATCTCCGCGGCAACTGATCTTGTCATTAGCCGCTCCATGGTACCCCGGACGATGAGTTGTATGTTATCACCGTGCACAGCACATAAATGGTTGACCTAAAGTAGTTGAATAATAAGACGAACTTACGACTCTGATTTTGAAATCGGGGTCCTTCAGCCGTTCATCATATCTCTTTAGCTCACTGAGAGAGATGAATGGCAGAGATAGTCCCGGCGCAACACTTTGGGATTGTCGTTGTAGCATTTGCAACATCGCTTCGGACATGCGACGATGGCCGACCAATTCTGATCGAATGAGACACAACTCATCTAAAAATAAGGCTGAGTGCAATGCAATACATCTGTGGCGTCTTACATTTTATGGCCTGCAGTTCGTGCAGCACATCCAGATTGCTTGGTGGGACGTCAGCAATAACCGGTGGCGCGATTACTGTTTAATAGGGGCAGTATGAAATCGATACTTACGGTTGCTTGTTGATGGTCCTGGACGTGACGGACTAATGCCACTGAACAGAGAGGAGGGCGCACGTGCGTAGGTTGCTGCAGAAGGCCTTTTGGGTTTGCTTGGACGCGCGGCATCCTCGTCATCGGAGCTCGAACGGACGGGCCGGCGTCTAAGGGGAAATAAAAAACACAATACTCACATTGCACGCTTAGCTGGAAGGCCCATGGGAATTGTATCGTCTGTCGATGGCAGCATCCCGCGCTCAGATTGCCGTTCCATTTCTCGGGCATGCTGGAAGCTAACTAACGAGGTGGGTTAATATAAGAGAAATACTTACTAGTGCTAACGATTATGGACACGGCAGTGCTGACCACATCGACATCCGGCGCAGTGTGATTTTTCACCGCTGCATAGTAGTGCGTACCCCGCACTGAAGGTATTTGAGCGTACGAACCTTCTTCTCTAAGCCAAGTGTTACTGACAATAGTTATTAAATCCGCGGAGTCAAGGAGTTTGACAACGCTGTATCCTTGAAAAGCCATCATTGCTGAAAAAGAAAGACGTTAGTAGTTAAAGTGTATAACTGTGTGGCATAGGGTAAATTACAAGAAAATCGTTCAAGGGTAAAGCAATGCACTTAAAGAGAATATGACAGACAGAGAAGGTACATACCTCAGTTGACAACTGCGATGCACGGAAGATGTACGCCGTTGAGGAATCCATGCTATGCGTGAACAGACTACGGAGATTCATAAATTCCCGGCATTGCACGACAATGTTCCCGGACACATTCACAGACACATCTGTCAGTACTCTGGGTTTGGCATCGATGATGACCACGTTATCCGGCTTCACAGTGGAAAACAAAATGCCGTGCAAACAAAACGCCTTCTGACCCTTATATGTGCACATCTCTACATTCCCAACGGTGCTTGCGTTGCTGGAAGTAGGAGGAAGCTGTTCCTCTTCCGACGTACGCCGCATGATTTGAGCAACCGGACGCGGGGAATTGTGAATCATGCGCTTGATGGAAAACAAGTGAGACTCGAAGGGAAATGCTGAGAAGCTGTCTAGAGTCCCCATCTTTCGTACGTCAGCGGGAAGATGAACCAGTGAGTGTACGTTCCACGTCATCTCACTGGGACCATAAAGATCAAAGTAATCATGTAAAAATACATGAATTAAAGGAACAAGGAAATCAAATAAGGCAGTGTGAAGGTGAGGGTGGCACATGATATAAATAGCAAATGAGAGATCTAGAAAGTTTTGATAGAAAGCGTCAGGCAATACCCCAATTAAACAAGCTGGTCCGGCGTATAGCAAAAACTGACGCAACTCAGTTGCCTTCCAAGATCGGTATTCATCCAGTGATCGAAGCTTACGTGGAAAGTCCGATGTCCAGGAAGGCCCGAACTCATGCAACCGTTCGTTTGCTAAAATCAATCGCTCTCTGCGCAGTCGAAATCCACTGTCCACGGGCGAAGTAAGCCAGTTTTTTATCATTCTGCGCATAACACCCAAACATACTGAATGCATATAGTCAATTGGGAAGTCCTCAACCAAATCGACATTCAAAGCAGCAAAAGGCGACGGTTGGCTATCATTCCTTCGAACGGATGCATTAGTCCGTAGTGTGCTATCAGTAAGTGGGTACGTTACCTTGCGGCTCATATACTCACCACGTTGGGTGCATTTGTCACAGCTGTAATAACCCGAATGTTCTTTTTTTCTTTTCACATACGCGCGTGCAGGGGTATCACAGATAACGGCTTTAAGCTTGAATAATCCTTGGCGTTGCAAAGCACGTATCTCATTAATTGTGTCGTACAAGTAATCGTCCACGTCATTCGGCTTCGAGGTCCCACCATAAACACCAACAATGAATGGCTTCGTGATCACTGGCTTTATGACACGGCACAAGATTGGCCATACATGCATCTTGGATGCATTAAAAGGTTTAAACCCGTCGATATGCAACTGATAGTCAACAGTGTCATCAGCGGCGAGCGAAATAGCAGAGCATGCACGCTGTAAACCTCTCAGCAGACCTACGTGACCGTAAGTTCCCGGTGAAACAACGCGAATGCGGGAGGTCCGTGGGGTGCGCATCAACGTCCGGTAATCCTTTGGCAAAAATGGCATCCACGGCTGCACAAGGCACAACAGTGGACGAACAAAAGACGCAGGTACTTGAGATTTTGCGATCAATTTTCTCAAGTTATGTACCAATTCATCGGGGTTCCTGTCATCTTCACTGCGGTTGATAACGTGTGCAGGTGGCTGAACTGTGTAAGCAATCATATTTAAGATATGTTAAAGATGCTCTTACCCTTCTGTCGTTTAGCTTCTGACAACAGAAGCACCTCTTCGTAGCTGAATCCTGATGTCATTCTTTTCGCTGCACGGTAAATGGTGCTACGAGACGGAAACTGTGCAGTTAATTGATAACTTCGTCGACGTGACATGCTGAAAAGGAACACCTACGTATCAAACAATGTTTAACCGAAATACCTGATAGGTACACCTGCGGCAACGCAGTTTCAAGGAAGCTAGACAATAGCGCAGAACGAAGCAGTATCAGCGACCAAGGTTACGAAACCGAAAACGGCCAAATAAAAAGACCTGCAGATGCATTTAAACCGCTGGGGTTATGGTCAAATAATAGCAAATATAATGCATATCAACTATTAATTTATTAACAAATGTCAAACTAAATGCATTTAGCTGCAAGTAATGCATTAATACCTGAAGTGGACATCTGTCCAGTTTATGTCCAGGTTGCTACGTTTAGTGTTACGTTTGTGCTACCAGGGGTATTCAATATGTGCAAGACAGGTAAATACTAGTGCGAAACGGTGCACAAAATCCAGCGCGGATATCAGAAAAACATTAGCGTAGCACACAGCGGACTGTATTGGATGGACTACAAAAAGTACCGGAAGGATGAAACGAGACAACAGCAAAACTTTAAAGCGGTAACGTATATGGCGGTCAAGTGACGCGCCGGTTGTAAGGAAGCTTAAAACAAGAGATAATACTGAACAAACAGTCAGCAATTAAATGGCACATAATAGAAAGCTGTTTCGGCTTTAAGCCCTATTAAGCTTTTCCCCAGAAAACTGAGAAAGGTATGTCCACAAAATCGCAAATGACGGGTAAACGGATGTTCTTAAGACAAATCGGCCCAGTGTTAATGATTAAAAGTTCGTGTAAAATAAGAATTGGCCGGAAGTCGGAGTCTGTTGTGCCGATTGTTAGTTATTAATTAATGGTTACAGGGCAGAGTGCATTTTGGCGAACCTTTGTAGTAAACTCGTCGGACTTCAGCAAAATGGCTAGCATGGAAAATTTACCGGCAGGAGCTCAAACTCCGCTACTGCCAAAGGGTGCGCTTAGGTGTTGCCTCTCACCCTGAGGCATTCCGTCTTGTGCCAAAACGACCCTCGTCGCAAAAACGATAATCGTCCCACTGAGACACTTCCATCGTCTCATGAATAAACGACGCTTGTCCCGAGGGGAAACAACCCGCGACCGCGTCTAGAACTTCCTTAGCAGTGGCGATCCTTGTAAACGTCAATCGTGGATGCCAGTCAATCTAAAGGAAGGGCTGGATTGTGCAAGACGAAAAAGCCGAAAAGCGCGCAGAACAAGCCAAAAAGAACGAATTATTTATCTGCGTGCAAAATGGGCAGGGTATTATAATTTTTTGCTTTTTAAATTAAGGCCTTTCGAACGTTTCTGATTCTTGGTTTTTTCAAAAAGTTAATCTACCAAAAACGGGGCAAATACTTGGGAATTTAAAAGTCTTTACACTGTACATACTCCGAAAAGTACTAGATTATGAATCTCTCGATCGCGGCGAATGATCACGTGTGGCGACTGGCTCACAGTAGAGGATACCGTTAGAACCACTCCACCCTGTGCATTATATCGGTACCCGCTGCGGAAATGCTACGAGTTTTGCAACGTAGCGCGCTTATCCGCAGCGTCACGCGAAGCGCACTAAGCTTGCCTTTGTCTCAGCGACTTCGTCGATGATAGCTGTTTTGAGGCGATTGATGGTGACGAGCACGCGTCGGTAACTCCTGCCAAACGTGTATTATATATTCGTTTGTTGCTGCAGCTTTAATGGTGTTATCTAAGCGACTGAACAGGCTGCCAAACACTGCCTGGGAGGTAGCGGACTCCTAAACATGCACGCAGCTTCCTAACAACGTACACTGGTGTCTTCCGCAATCTTGGAGCAGGTGGCCTCAGCTTACGCATGCGGTCGGTGTAATCTAACTACTCCTTCGGAAGTAACGCGTTAGCGCTGTAACCAAAAAGACATTCAACTGAAGAGACTGTTTTAAGGATGTTTGAAAAAAGAATTATAAAGTACGAATGTTTTACTGTTGAAATATTGTTAATGGATGGCATGTATATTTTTATGGCTACTGTTCTCATTACAGGGGCTGCTTACTCGCATTTAATGTATGTCCATTTTGGATTTCACTAGCTTAACCTTTTGTGTGTATAACATGGAAACATTTGTATTGCCTGTAGAAAATCCTCCGTTGTGGTCTCTGATAACCTCCTTGAACGGTGGTTACTTATCCTATGTACGTTCCATTATAATCCAACTTTATTATCAAGAGCTATGCCCCAACTATTTGCTTCACGAGCCTTCAAGACCTTTCCATCTTTATCTTTTATTTTTCTCTCAATATTTTATAAATGATGGCAGATTTCAGAGCGGACAATTTTAGCTCCACAGGCGTTTTCGACCGGCGTCCATTGAGAACATATTGGCAGTACAGACTTGTCATCAACAACGCCGCTAAGAAAACATATACTATGTGCTTCACGCGCTACCTTGAACGTTGTTTTCTGTGCCTACATAACTTCCTTGGCAACTGCATTTATATCGCTATTAGGGAGGGAAAAGCTGTTGACTTCAAATGTATTTATGACTTGATTATTACGCTTCTGTGGATATCACAACAGTGGCATCACGACGACCAATGACCAAGTATCTACTATAGGCACGACGCGCCTCTAGCAGGGGGATTCTTCAAAAAATGCATGCCCAGTAGATGATTATCTGGAAATCAAAGTGCTGCTTAGTTTGGTGAGGAACACTTGCTCACTTATCATGGCGTTTCCACTTTGCAACCTGTTAGGAGGGTGGGTGAATCTGGATGAGTGCAACTTGGAGTAGACCACAAGTGCAGATATTGTGGTCAGACAACCTCACTTGAAGTTACTTTCCGAAATGAGGTGGTATCCATTTCTGCCACACATTCTCACTGACTGCTGCTGGTTTGCAGACAAGCGGAAGATGTATTTTACCTCAATATCCGCAGGCTGCGTTAAGGAGTGTGCTGGAAGTTAGGCAGGACTACTGCATTGGTGTACGCAAGATAATAATCTTCATCCATGTAAGTCAGGT